TCAAGGAATGGCCCAAACCCCAATCCGCCAAGGCTCTCTGCGAGTTCCTGGGTCTGACAGGATACTACCGCAAATTTGTACAAAATTATGGCCTGTTGGCTGCCCCATTAACCAATCTGCTAAAGAAGAATGCCTTTCATTGGGATGACGCAGCCGATGTAGCTTTTGCAAGTTTAAGGGATGCCCTCTCCTCCACCCCAGTTCTGCAATTGCCAAACTTTGACCTCGAGTTTACAGTCGAGTGTGATGCATCCAGAATAGGTATTGGAGCCGTATTACAGCAACAAGGGCACCCGATTGCCTTCTTTAGCTGCAAACTTGCTGACTGACATTTAAAATTACCTGCCTATGAATGCGAACTGATTGGGTTGGCTAGAGCAGTCCAACACTGGAGACCATACTTGTGGGGACGGTCATTCGTCGTCAAAACCGATCATTATAGCCTCCAGTACTTGTTGGAGCAGCGATTTACCACTTCACCTCAACAACATTGGGTTAGCAAGTTGCTAGGTTTTGATTTCCGGGTAGACTACAAGGCGGGATCCTTAAATCGCACCGCGGATGCTTTGTCTGGGCGTGACGAAGACACTATGCTCCTCTGTGGGATTTCCCAACCCCGAATCACCTTGTTAGACGACATCAAGAAGGAGCTGCCACAATCACTAGAGTGGACAGTCCTTGTTCAGAAAATTCAGTCTGGAGCCGCCGACTCCACTTGGTCCTTTCAGGACGGGCTGGTGCTATACAAAGGACAGGTACATCTTCCAGCAGATTCCTCTTTAATTCCTTCCATTATCTCCAGTATCCATTACTCCACCCATGAAGGCGTTCAGAAGACACTGCATCGCGTCCAAGCGGATTTCCACTGGCAAGGTATGAGAACTTCCATTCGGGACTTTATCCATAAYTGCTCCACGTGTCAACAGCACAAATGGGAGAATCTTCACCCAGCTGGCCTTCTTCAGCCCCTCTCGATTCCAGCACAAATCTGGGCTGATATCTCCATGGATTTTATTGAGGGCCTACCCAAGATTGGTGGAAAATCAGTTCTTTACGTGGTTGTGGATCGCTTCTCCAAGTACGCCCATTTCATCCCTCTGTCACATCGGTACAGTGCTACATCGGTCGCCCACGTTTTCTTTACGCATGTTTTCCGTTTACATGGACTGTCGGAATCTATTGTCAGCGACAGGGACCCAGTTTTTACTAGTGCCTTCTGGAAGGAATTGTTTTGGTTACATGGTACCGCCTTAGCTTTTTCCTCCGCGTATCATCCTCAAACAGACGGCCAAACGGAGGTGGTGAACCGTACGATCAAAATGTACCTCCGTTGTTTTGTTGGAGATCAACCGATACGGTGGACTGATTGGCTCCCTTGGGCCGAGTATTGTTATAACACTGCCTATCATTCTTCCCTCGGAATGACACCATTCTGGGTCGTCTATGGCCGTAACCCTCCTCGTTTGTTATCCTATGAACCCAGTTCCACTCGTTTGAAGATTGATCGCTCCCTACAAGAGCGCAATGCCCTTCTCGCTGAAGTTTCTCTTTGCCTACAACAAGAACAACTACGCATGAAGCACGCCTATGACCAGCATCATCGGGAATTGTCATTTGAACCGGAACAGTTTGTGTGGTTGAAGCTTCAGCCCTATCGGCAACACTCCTTGAGATACAGGGCTGCTCCTAAATTCTATGGACCCTTCAAGGTCTTGCGGCGGATCGGTAAGGTTGCATACCAGCTGGAACTGCCAGAGCACAACAGAATCCATGATGTGTTCCACATTTCCTTGCTCAAGCCGTTCACGAGTATTCCTCCTGACCGAGTTCCCCCCTTACCATCCTTGAAGGATGGCAGACTCATCCCCCAACCTCGGGCTCTTGTTCGCTCTAGAATCAATCGGGGTGTTCTCAAAGTCTTTGTGGAATGGGATGGCTTGCCAGCAGCCGAGGCCACCTGGATCCCCTTGACGGAGTTCCAAGACACATATCCGAGTTTCGAGCTTGAGGACAAGCTCTTAGTCCAGGAGGGGAGTAATGATATGGACGCATTTATTGGGAAGACTTATTGCTGCCGGCAGCAGCAGTGATCAGTCCATGTTATCTTATTCTTATCTTATTTATTCTTATCTTATTATCCTTATCTTATCTTATCTGTTTCAGTAAGGATTAGTAGGAAGTCTGATCTATCTTAGGGAGTCTTATCTATCTTAAGTAAGGAGTCTTATCTATCTTATTTGTAAGTAGTATAGATTAGCAGGGAGTCTTCCCACAAGGAGGACTCTTATCTCTTGTAATCTCCTATTTAAGGAGCTGAGAATATTGAATAAGATCATCGAAAATTTCAGTCAAGAAAGAGAGCAAGGAGAGAGTT